CGCCGTCGTCGCCGTCGTGGTCGCTAGGATGCGGTGGATGGTGCATATAACCCTGGATGGATATACAGGAGCAGCAGAACGGCGCCCCCGCCGCGATGCCCGCCCGCTGCACACTGGAACAACCCTGTTCCGTTCCGTTCCTCTCTCTCTCGCTTTACTCTCTTCCCCTCTTTTGCGTCCACCGACGTTGCACTCCCTCCTTCTGTCTCTTTCTCCCACTGTGTTCCTTCCTTCGGTCTTCTCTATTTACCACTAAGACTTCTCTTTCACTCTTTCGATTGTCTTTCATTCTCATTTGCTGCCGATTCCTCTTTCAACCCTCTTTGTGATAGCAGAATCTCTTTTTCTTGCTCTCTTACTCCTTTTTCGTTTAGCGTCAATCTTATAGCGCCTTGTGTTTATCTTCGTCGCACTACCGATTGTCCATGACTCTTTAGCCTCTTTTTTTACCTGTGTCGTTCTCTTTTCCATTGAGGTACCCAGTCTTTCGCGAGCAGAGGAACCGCTCTCTATGTTACCTTCCTCCTTCATTCGCCGTCCGGCGTTCTCCATCCTATATTTTCCTCTCGTTTACTTCCGTTCCTTTTCCCTCTCTTCATCCCTGACATCGTTTATCTCTCTCTCTCTTCGCGAGAGATAGATCCTCCGTTCTCTCTTTCCCGTGCAGGGGGAAGCTTTCTGCTTCCTCGCTCCGCACCGGCCGCGTTACCCCGCGCGTCGCTCTTTTGCACCACCCGACATCCGTGGCGGCCCACCCAACTCCAACCCCGCCGAAATCGCTCCTCGAACGTTGTCCATCTCATTTTGCGACGGCTCGCCGCCCTGCGTTCTTCTCTCTTCCACTTGCCGCGACACCCGCGCGTTCCTCCCCCAACGCGTACCCACGACGGAGGTGGTAGGTCGTAGAGGTGGGAGCCTGCGCACGTGTGAGCACCCCTCGCCGGGCCTCCCGCTCGATATCGGACCGACTCCACAACTCCACGTTACGAATGCACGTATAACGGGTGTCATCCGGATGGATTCTAGCCGTCCGTCGCGCGACATACGTATACGTGCCTGTCTTCGCCAGTTCGGCAACTACTTCTTCCAGAGGATCACGCTGCGGTGAGCTCAGTGTCGAACGAGCTATCTTCTACGTCGAAAGACATAGGTACACAGGTGATTCGCATCAAGCAATGACGAATCTTTGGATTCTGCAAGATCGGAACTGATCAACGCAAAAAAACCTTGGCGTTCTGCCACATAATTTCCTATGTTAAAGTCAATCGGGCTTCAATACAAATAAAGAAAATCTATCAAGTATGTTCTATACTTTTGGGATAGTCTCGTTTGCCCTCAAAGTAACTGGTCGAAATAATCGATGGCGCGTGTATCAGCGTTCCATGCTTCTGGTCTTTTAGATTTATCTTCTCCATGCGCCTTTTCTCTATTGCGTCTGTCGATTGCGAATCAAATATATCTGAGATCTGCCGTATGTTTGGTCAAAGGAAAATGGAAAGGAATTTATCGAGAAGTTTTTTCTCCTTATTGCCTTTTAATAATATATATTGGATGTATGTCAGTGATGTTCTTTTTCGCACGTTTATTTCTAAGAAATATATGCATAATGTTATTTTCTTAGAATACTGTCTTACGATTTCTTTGGAAATTACATTTTGAAGATATTATTTAACGTTGTGACTTTTATTTTGTATTATAATTCATAGATAAGATTTATAAAATCGAATCTAGATAGTCGTTACAAATAATCGATCGGTATATAATATACACGATGATCAATATAAGACTAATAAAATATTCATGATTGCTCTATTCCAATAATCATTTTACAGTTTTAATTTACGTTCAGATTAAATTTGACTTGTGATCTACAACAGTTTTAATCTAAAAGAAATATATTCTATTAAAAAATATTTTCTTCCTATTCAGAGTTGTTATTAAGAAAAACTAACAATAAATTGTATTTACAATTTCTAGCATAATGTCATACCAATATTGTTGAGTTAAGCAGTTTAACAAGAAATTATATGTCATGCCCATCTAACAATAAATAAACGTATTATATTTTCCATTATTATTCTGCGAGTTACTTTAAGTTACCTAACGTAACTAATTTATAGTTGTGAGTACCTTACTTATTGTTAGTCTAGAGTTCCAAACTTAGAAAATGTTCTTGAATAAGAGCATGTAACGGTAAGTCGTGTTCTGCAACACCTCACAAATAAAGATCAGTCCGTATATGTATAAAATTCTCGCACCTCCTCCAATATAATATAACAGCACTTGGATACAATCATGGACCGCCACGGATATTGAAGGTGGATAAATCTCTATTATTTCTTTATCGTCTTTTTATATTGCCCGAAGACTAACCGATAACATTGACAAAGCATCGAATAGTCTGTAAATCGCATGCGAGAGAAAGAAATAATCATTTCGATACATAACAATTTCATTATCATTTTACATAAAATATATTTATATATTCTCTATATTTATAAATATTTTATTAATTTGAATATATTAAATATTATAATATATTCGTGGATAATTTCGATACAGAGGATTTCTCATAATATCGTGTTAATTGAACCAAAAATTCAAGCTATATATTATTTCCGTGATTAAATAAACTTTTAAATTTTTGCAAGTTAGTTTATTAATTATCCCACCGATGAGTTGCTATGTCATAAGCTAAAGTTGTTTCAAGAGTATATAGCCTTTTTTGAAACTTTGATTTTAAACAGATATAAACTCAAGATTTATCAATAATATTCAAAAGAAGTGTAATAATTTGAATAAGGCAAGTATAGCTTAGTTCATTTTCGTTTAACACTGTTATTGAGATGAATAGGAGCAAGTAGTTAGGAGTAAGTATTCTCGGGCATGCATGTGAAGCCTCTATTAATTATTGTTCTGTCACGTGTCAGTCACTTATTGGAGTATATTTTTTACTCGTGATTCTTGGCAAGCGCGAAAATCAAGCTAGATAAGGGAGTTACGGAAAACTTTGTCTCAAGGAAGCACGTGGAAGGGCAATGCTGTCCAGGGGTGGATATACCTTCGAAGTCCCCACAACCTTATCCCGCCTGTGCTACCCTTAGACCGCTTTGTTATGTCCCAGAGGTCGTTACGGTTATTAACGGCTGTCGACGGTACTTTTAAGCTTTCGCTTCGTCTCAAGCTTCTCACCGCATCCGGTTTCCGATCGTTGAAAGATCTTGTAGGGAAGGTACAACCTGCACCATTCTACTTTCAATTTAGCATTTTATTTAAATTAGAGGAGAATCATTTAATGATATACATAAATAATCTCACACAAATAAAAATTTTTAATTATTATAAATAAAAAAACGATATATAATATGCGATAATTGTTATTATTTTGATAATGACAGTTATGATTCAATTACACATTCAATTAGGGTAATTTGAATTATTACAGTAATGTAAGAACGTTATTTCAGCACAAGATACACTATCGACTAAAGTAGCATTTTTTTATATTGAAAGCGTACTATATAATTTACTTTTAGAAAAATCAATTATACTTTTCAATACCGTTATTTAAAAGTATTGCTGTTTATCCAATATATATATTATCTTGTATTGGATAACGTTTGTGACGCTACAAACTTCAAAATTTAAGCAGCTGTAACTTCGTTAAAAATAAACAATATTTAAATTTAAAAAAAGATTTTGAAACTTAAAATCTCTACTTCCGAAAGGTTATTATATCTTTTGAGCTTCTGTGAGTTTGATAATTTTTTATACACATAAAAAATTATACGCTGGACAAAATAAGAAATTTTCCTCTCATTTTGTGGGTCAATCACGTGCCCAAAAAAATTTGCGAAAATTTTCGATTTTCTAACATAAAGTTTTCTTTACGATATCATTTTTAAAAATATTTTTAAGATTTTTTGTTATTTCAAAGTTACCACAGATTAAATAAAAAGAGCATTTGACTTTGATTGTTCATAACTTCGTTAAAAATTATCATACCGCAGTTTAAAAGAAAGCATTCTTAAAGCTGAAACTTTGCTCGAATGGTATAATAATTTTTTTTATAAACGTGTAAACAAGATACAAATAAAGTAGCATTGTGAGAGAACTGTGTTCCAATCCAATACATTAAAATATCGTACTCATATGTAACGAATATATTTTGTGGAATTTTGAATTTTTTGAATTTTTCAAACTAATACTCGTGTTAAAATATTCTCTTGTAAGCAATATTGAATCATAATGGAATTTATTTACGTATTTTTGGTAGATATATTTTTCATTGCATAAATGTACCATCTGTTAAATGTTCTTTACTAGATTACGTTTACTTTTTCATATATAACTATTATATATTGAAGCCGCAAAGCTGACTCAACCATGCGTTCCACAGAATAAAGGTCAACTGCTGTATCTCTTGGCTCGTAGCTGTGCACATTACCTATGGTCTTTCGCTGTGCTCGCGTTAACATATGGTATTTTGCCAGATATTGAAAACACGGCTGTGTTCAAAATTAATTCACCATCGTGTTTCTGGCAGATTATTTTAGCATAAATTAGAAAATATATTCTGCGACAATCTCGTACTAAAGTATAATTAAACTATTATACGCTAAAATATCTAGATTAATAATCGCTAATTTGTTAATATTTGCATAATTTATCTTATATTTTAT